CATTTTTATTTGAGTCCCTTTTGAACATAGTACTTTATTCTTTATTAAACACAAATGGAGCTTAGTGCTAATTACTCTAACTAGGGGTGTCCTTAACTTGTAAAAAGTTCCAATCACTTATTTCTTTTGAGTCCTTAAGTATATCTCAAGTCAAAATGTAGAGAAGGAAGTCCAACTTAAGGTATAAGTTTGTATATTTTCAAGTATTGGACAGTTTCTCAACCTTTTGATATTGTTCCAAGAAACAGCTTCTAATTTCAACTCAAAATTTAATTATGTTTGAGTCTTTTAGAAAGTACTGGAATAAACACACAAACAATAATGAAATAATAATAATAAAATATCCTCAATTAGAAAGGAAGGTCAGTTTTTGTTACTTTTTTTTTTTTTAACAAAAAAGATCTTGGGATTTCTGGTAACTTCTTTATATAGATGGGCCAGAGAAGTGAAGTAACTCTAGAGCAGCGTGACTGTTCAATCACAGAAATGGAACAAGAAACCTTTTGCTTCTTTTTGTAGTACTTTATGTACTTATCCTTTAAATTTTTCTCTTAATTGTTTCTTGAAATTAGGTGGCAGGATATAAATAAATAAAATACCAAAGGTGTGTATTCATACTCATTAAGACTCTTTCATTAGAAAACACTAATTTGAAAGGAAACCAGCACTCCTATGTTTATTGCAGCACTATTTACAATAGCTAAGATTTGGAAACAACCTGTGTGCCCCAAAACAGATGACTGGATCAAGAAGATGTGGTATGTATACACAATGGAATACTATTCAGCTATCAAAAAGATAAGCTCATGCCACTTGCAGCAACATGGGTGGAGCTAGAAGGGATCATGCTCAGTGAAATACATCAGAAGGAAAACAACATATTAGATGGTTTAACTTGTAGAAGGAACAAAGAGTCAGGGAGAACAGGTCAAAATTAGCAGGAAAGCTATAGATCAGGGTGTATAGCAGGGAAGGATGAGAGAGGAGAGTCAAAACAAGAGATGGAAGAGTGCAAGGGACTGTGGTGATGGTGCACAGGTGATGTAGTAACAGGAGAATTATGGAGATTACACCTGAGGGGAGACATCAAATACTGTACAAAAATGAACAACAACATAAGAAAATTTTTAAATATTATATATTCTTTTGTTAAAGTAGCAGAAACCAATAAGTAAGTCAATCTTGAGAGAGAAAAGGATGGGAGAATGAGGGAAAAGTTTCCAGAATCCAAAGAAGGGCGAAACAGATGATCCTTTCTGTGGAAGGGAGGCGCTGAGCCACCCCAAGGCCTCCAAGAGAATGAACTTTGTATGGTTCCTCTTTAGAGTGCAGTCATGACCGTGTCCTTCCAGTGGTTTTTGGCTTGGATCCCTTAATTTAAAATTCAAGAGAGAAAGGGAGGAGAAGTAGAAGAGAAGAGGAGAGAGAGGTAGACAGACAGGAGACAAAAACCATTGCTCACACAGTTCCCAACACCTGCCTTATCTTCCATCTTTCATTTTTAATGAAAAATGAAATTTTTCAAGCACTGCTTTCTCAATGAAATCTCTTTAGATTCCCTGCTAGATGTCGTTTTCTCTTCCCCCTCCCTTGCTGTGTGTGCATATGTTTTAGTCCCAGTATTCTGTGTTTCTTATAACCCTCAACAAATTCTCCTTTGTACATTAGAATCCCACAGCCCATATGCAAGGACCGGGTAGCTGGTCATTTCAAATAAAAATAGGGAATCTTAAGATGATATTAATAGGCATCCTGCTGCTTAAACATTTTATCTTAAAGCTTATAAATGCATAGGACAAGACCTTTGCTTTCAGTATAAAATTATGATTGAGCATCAACTTTTTCATGAAAATTAAATTTGTTTGGATTTTTTACTTTGTTTTTTTAAAATGGAGCAAGGATTTAGACACCATAAAGCAATACAGATTCAGAAGCCTTTGTTTCCCTTCTTTTCTCCAGTTTATAATATTTGTCTATAGTTTTTTAGCTACTTAATTTTTACATCAAGTATTACCAAAGCATTATTAACCTAGTTTTCTTAGAAACATCTTCTTCATACTCATAATTAATGTGATTATATAACTTGTAATCAAGTTGCATAATTACTAGCAGTGTAAAACTAACATAAACAAGTTCTAGCATAATTTGAGCAGAAGCGAGTGGGAGTACTAGAGATTAACCTGCTACCCACTAGTGTATAGCAAATTGGGGGCATCTGTCACTGTATTTAAAAGAGGGGGAACTGAGAGCCTTGCTAATTTCAAAGTAGGGTAAGTGGAAGTCTTATCAAATGTGCTTCTAGTTTATTTAAATGATTTATATTCCTGTCTTATCCTACCTGACTCCAAAATGTGATCTGGAAACCAGTAGGTAGAGGAGTCCTGAGATCCTTTTCAGAGGTCTGTGAAATCAAAACCATTTTCATAATAATATCAAGCCTTTTGCAATTTTCTTAGTTTTAGTTTCTAATAGGATAAATATCAAGGAATAAAACCTACATAAATGAACTTTCTTTAGGGATCCTCAATACTTTTTAAGGTTATATGCTGCAAACCATTTGTGAATATCAGCATTGGACTCTGCTCTTGAGAGTAGTAGCCATGTTCTAAACCTTACCTAGAAGGCTGTATCATAAATTACTGTGGTTTGGTTTTGTTTTAAGAGGAAAAGGGGAATGAGTAGACCAGGATTTACGGTTATCTAAGAAAAACCAGTTTATGGAAAAATTCATTGCTGATTGAGTAAGATATTTCCTTTCACTTGAAAAGCATTTGAAAGCTTTTTAAGGTTTGAAATAGGGGGATGTGGATGGACAGAAAATTATGGTTTGGAAAGTGAATTTTATTGCTTTGTTTGAGTGACTTTGAAGATATGAACGGTGGCCAAGTTGAAATGGACAGATGCTTTGGATGCTTCTTACCCTTTTGGGAGTTATATAGAGCAGAAACCTTTAACTGAAAATTACATTCAGCCTGTCCACCTGGAATAGGTACTGCTAAATAAAAGGGAGATACTCACAGGTGGTAGTAAAAGGTAGCTCTCTCAGTATTCAGTATTAATGAGCATATGAATATTGTGACTAAAATATTTTCAGGAGTGGTACTCTAATTTAGTTTGTTTTTTAGAAAGCATTCATTTATGTCCCAGTAGTGTACTTTTCTTATGCATACATCACAGTTTCCCAAATTTTGTTAATAGTTATAACAACTGAATACAGAACCAAAGTTTTTGAATACATCTTTGAGTTACAGTGGAAAGGCAAACTTGAATCAAGGTTTGGTTTTTACTTTCAAAAAATTAAAACTTAATTTTAATCTTATTCATTAATGAGAAGAGATTATTTTAGATATTTTGACTTAAGTTTAATATAAAATAATATGACTTTTTAATTTCTCTCCTGGCATATTTTGATGTGCCAGATCGATATGCTTTTCATCATTGCTTTTTCTAGTCATCAGACAGTCTGCTCATGAAATTGGTTGCATACTTTGTATCATGGAGTCTGTACACAGTGTTCACAATTAGCATTTAAAGGCTACAAAAAGGAGCTGCCTACATTTTGGAAACAAAATCACAAAATGTCACCCAGTAAAAGATTTTGTAGTTATAAATTATGTAGGCATGGCTCTGTGTGTACTCTACTATATTTTGGTCAATTTATGTGTCTTTCCCAAACAACTCTGTGTTTCTTGAGGACATTACTGTATCTTACTCATCTTTGATTCCTCAGTACCCTTTCATATGGTAGGCATTTAATTAATGCTGGTGGAATGAACAGTGTTATTCACCCTGAAGAGATGAATCATTAATACATCGCTGATGATCCAAAGGTTTCCTGAATCTTTTCTCAAAGACAGGGTGAATTATCCCAGTAATATGATTGACACATGACTGGCCCTAAACATGGTGGGCATGTCCAGAGTAGTAAAGAAAGCTGAACCGTCATGGGACATTCTTACCTATATTACCGATTAAGATAAGGTCTGCGAAGTTACTTGCCATGATGCTTAGTGCCTTCGGCACACAGTAGTTGTAACCTTTATTGTCAGGGTCACTATAAGAATTCCTATTAATGGTAGGAAATATTGCCCCTTTGATTGGATAAATATACAGAGCAAGTTAATAGTAAATTTGGACACTCCCAAATATATAATTTTGCTGGAAACAGAGCAGCTGGCGTGCAGAATTGGTACATGATATAAACTAGAGAGTGCCCAGCTTCACAGTATTTTCTAGGTTGGCTGTTCCAGTCAGTGTATTCTAGAATTTTATTTGCATATGTATGTGTGCACGTACATGCTCACAAATAGATCTCTCTTTGACTTAGTGGTCCAAATGAGCATGTTTTCAGAAGTTACTTTTCTGCTAAAGACTTAAGAAAAGGCCACCATACCCTTTAAAAAATGCATAAGCCCTGACTCCTCCCTGATGGCACAATGGGTTAAAGCACAGAACTGCAAGCTAACCACAGCTGCCTCAGTGTGAGTTCAAGCCCTGGCCCTGGAGGTGATCTATATGGCATGGCAGACCTCTCCTCACCTGCCCACTGCTCCCCTCTGCAGTGTACTTTGTCCATCTGCCTGTTCTGCTCCCCACTCTGTCTCTGGTGAATCCTCTCACTGCCCCTGCATCTCTGGCCTGTACCCCAGTTCTGTATGCATAAATAAATAAAATCTTTAAAAGAATTCATAAGCCTTTCATACCACCCTGTTTCAATAGAGTTAAGTATTATTTAAGCTGTTACTGGCAAAGGGCTGCAGCAGCTCAATAAACAAACCTGACAGGAGCGGTAGAGTTTTTCCTAGCCAAGGACTAGGTTCCTCTTTAGTCTGACCTATAATACTATAAACTTTAAAGTATCCCTTTCATTTCCTTGATTTATATTATTAATTATGTTTGATTGTAACCATTATTACTGTGGTTATAGTGGGTTGAAATACATTCTTGAAAATGATAAATGTTATCTCTGAATACATTTAATTTTTTTCTTTCCTTTCAAGATAAGCTTTCATTGGAAGGAATAGTGGTACAAAGAGCTGAATGCCGACCTGCTGCCAGTGAAAACTACATGAGATTAAAGAGGTTGGTGTTTTTTGACTTTAATATAACTAATATTTCCTTTTTGAGACTGAAATTCCTATATTAGAGTGTCTATTGACTGAACAAAAACCCAGTTATTGTTGAAATTGTTTGCTTGAAAGGCTCTTTGGTTTAAGCCAAGTAAGAATTGTTTGGAAAAGTAACTTTAGAACCTGGACTGTTTACGTGAGATATTTTAAGCTGCTATGTTAATATGACCCAGAATCAGTGTTTTTAAACTTCTTTGTCTAGTCGTCCATGTAAATCTTGATTATCTAAGGATATATTTTATTTTCAAATGCTACTAATTTCCACATTGAATATGTGTTATGGGGGTGGGGAGAGCACATGGGACTGTAATGATAGCACATGGGTGAAGTGGAGGTGAGAATTCCATAGGGGCTGCAACTGAGATGAAAAATGTACAAAATGAAGAATAATGTAACATATATAAAATACATAAAAATAAAAATAGTGGCAATTTAAAAAAAAAGAATATGTATCTAAAATAGTTAGCTATATTATGCATAGTTCAAGAATATCCCTTTGTCTTGTATCTACAGAGAACTTTTTATGAACTAACTTATTTTGAGAATTTGCTTCACTTTCCTCTCACCCCCACTTTTGTATTTGGCTAATATTTTGTGATAATGAAAAATTTTGAGTACAAATTCTTGATACTGTTAATTTTATTACTTTAAAAGAAATCAATTTTGTAAACCCTAAGGAAATATATTAGTATTTTACATGTTTGTAGTTTATATTGAATGTCTTTCACCCACATGTAGTTTAGAATTAAAAGTTTGTCCACTCATTCAGTACTTACTATACAAAATTGTAGTTAACAAAATACACCAAGATCTCTACCTTTTTGGAGTTTAAATTTCAGCACATTGTAGCTACTCAGAACTGGTAGTTGAAAACACATTGTTCAAGTGTTAGCAACAGCTTTTCTGGACGTCAGTGCTCTCACCTATAACAGAGGTGGATAGAGCTAAATCATTACTGAATTTCACATTATCTTTTTAATTTTTTCCCATTTGTCAATTATATTAGAGTCTGTCTCCTAGGAATGAAACAGATGATTTTCTTGTCCAATAATTCCTCTCATTTAAATGCCTCTCCCCAAGGCAAATAAAAGGATGACTATCAAAGTGAAAAAAATTTTTTAGCAAAATAACTGTAGAACACAGGCAGGTAGTATTTCTTTCTTGTAGTCTATGAAGTCTGTAATACAAGGCATTTTGAAAATTTATCTTCAAATAAACTACTGAAATTGGAAAATGTAAAATCTGGTTACTGAGCTACTTACTTACTAAGATCTTATTCTATGATAATGAGTTTTGGTAAAGGTTTCTAATAATTTCTGATGAGGAGATCTAGCAAGTCACCTGTAGTGTTTATGAAATGACTGCTATTTTCTTATCAAGAAAGAAATTAAAATTACTTAGCTTTATGAGTATACTAAAAGACCAGCCATTGCAGATCTCAGTTATTTAGTGGCGTAAGGAAACAGGATGATTCAAGACATCAAAGTCACATAAGTTTCATAAAATAGATGATGCCTGACATAAGCCTTGAAGGCTGAAATTTTTTGGCTAAATGGAAAAGGTCAAGAGTAAGTACACTTAACAAGCCAGGGAGACATGCAAGTACAATGACTTAGTTCCATAAGCCTGGAATGCAGGATTTGTTGGAGGGGACTGCAGAAGCTCCAGCCCAGACTATTTTGTTAACTCCAGACCGACATAGCCAAAGCCTAGCTAAATGTCCAGTAGGCATCGTAGATGTGTCAAAACTGAACTCCTAATCTTTCTCTGAAACCTATCATATTAGCAGTCTTTCTCATCTGAGTTTATGCCAACTCAGTCGTCCTATTTTCTCAGTTCTAAAATCTATTATGTTCTTGACTCCTCTCTCATACTCGTCATCCAATGTGTCAGAAAAATCTTCTTAACTGTACCTTTAAAATATTACACATATATGGGCCCTCCCTGGTGGCTCAACAGGTAAGGATGCAGGGCTGCAAGCTAGTCGATTCCTGGTCCCGGAGTGATCCACATGGCATGGCAGACCTCTCCTGACCCGCTCACTGCACCCCTCAACAGTGTACTTTGTCGATCTGCCTGTTCTGCTCCCCGCTCTGTCTCTGGTGAATCTTCTCATTGCCTCTGCACCTCTGGCTTCCATATGCATAAATAAATAAATCTTTTTAAAAAATTACACATATACACCTGAGAAAAGAAAGCAAACACTGTAAAAAATAAATAAATAAAAGAACAAGGATGTAAAAATAAAATTATAAATTAACAATAAAATACTACACGTGCACAGCCTGACCATTTCTCACCACCCACATGTTCTGCCGCTAGTTCTGGGTCACTGCAATAGCCTTCTCCAGGAGTTCCTGTTTCTATCCTTGGTGCACTATAGTCTGTCCCAGCACTCAAAAGATCCGTTGAGATCATGAAATCATGCCAGTCTTCTGATCACATGTCACTTGTTCTTCCTGTATTACTCAGTAAAATTCAAGTTCTTCGAATTTTCTACAGGGACCTATATGATCACCCACCATTCCCGGCACCTTGTCCCCAGCTTCATATGCTTTTTCCTCGCCCTTACTCCCTCTGCTCCTGCCACACTGATCTGACAGTCCATGAGGACACTAGGCACACTTCTGTTATCAGGGACTTGGCAGTGAATGTTCTTTTCTATCGAGAACATGCTTGTTATAGACACTTGCATGGCTCTTTCAAATCTCTTTTCAGATACTACTCTTCAATAAGCCTTACCTAACTACTCTTCTTTCTATACTTGTGTTTTCTTCATAGCACTTATCACTTCTTAATATACTAAATGATTTCCTTGAGTATATTTATTGCCAACTCAGCCTGTTGTAGTATTACATTTTAAAATCTCATGATTCATTTAGCTGTGGGTGTGGTTTCAGTTCTAATACCCAAGTCTTTCATCCACTTTGAATTAATTTTTGCATATGGTGTGAGATAATGGTTTGCTTTCATTCTTCTGCATACAGCTGTCCAGTTTTCCCAGCACCATTTATTGAAGAGACTTTCCTTACTCCAGGATATGTTTTTGGCTCCTTTGCCATACATTAACTGTCCCATATGTGTGGCTTATTTCTGTACTCTTAATTTTATTCTGTTGTTTGGTGTGTCTGTTTTTGTTCCAGTATCAAGCTGTTTTAGTTATACTAGCCTTAAAATACAGTTTGAGGTCTGAAAGTATGATACCTCCTTTCTCTTTCTTCTTTGTCAATATCACTTCTGCTATTCCATATAATTTTAGTAGTATTTACTCCAGTTCTTTGAAATATACCATTGATATTTTTGTTGGGATTGTGTTGAATCTGTATGTGCTTTGGGTAAATTCATAGGCGTTCTTTTTTAAAGGGTATTCTAGATGTCTGTTTTCTACTGTGTAGTGTGTACATAGTTCCATGTCTTACAAATTATGAACTTCATAAAAACAGAGACCATGTTTTTACTTCCTTTGTTCCTTTGTTTTACTTCCTTTTTTCTTTTCTACTCTCTCACCATCTTTCCATTCCTTTCTGTTTTATCTTCTCAGTACTTAAGCATAGTATATTACAAATAATAAATATCTAAATGTAGTGGGTTGAAATGAATTGAAATAGAAAGAAATGTCAAAACATACAAATCATATTAGAATTCAGCTTCTTCAGTTTTTTTTCTCAGAACTGCCCTTGAAACCTAGACCTAATTTTCCATTTCATATGCTTATGCTTGTGTGTGTGCATGTGCATTTATTTTTTTTTGAGGGGGGAGAGAAAAATCAGTCCCTTTTATTCTAAGACACCAAGCAGTAGGAAACAAGTTGTGACTCATACTGTTTCCTTGGGAGAGGTTACCAAGCTGTACCTGCCTAGATTTCTAATGTCTCACATTATGGTAAACGTTATCTTAGAATAACTTATTGTAAGGGAAAAGAAGAGGACCCCTCATTCAGTAAATCAGTACATAATTTGTGGGCGATGTGATTCATGTGAGAACTAGATACAAGCCCAGCAAAGTTTCTGCAATTAAAATTTTTGCCTAACACAACACTGAAGTATTTTCTTCTTGACACATTTAAATTAGAATTTGCATATATTTCATACTGATAATTTTGACTATATAAAAGTTTCATAAAGAATCATTTTGAGTGATTTTTCTTTTAAATTGAGATGATTATTTTATATCTACATCCCTTTATATTTAAAAAAGAAGAAGTACAAAATGAATTATAAATCAGATAATCATATCCTTTGCCATTTAAAATAGATTGCATCTCATCAAATTAATGAGAATTAAAGCAGGCATCCACCTGAGAGGATGCCGCCCTGAGACAGCAGTATAAGCTGTCCCAGCTAAACTGGGATGTGAACTTACTGTGAATAGCCTGGATACACTACAATGCTTACCTTTTAAAACGAGAACTGACGGTAACAGTCATGTAGAGAAGTGTATAGTACAAATTCTAGGCTAGAGCAAACTGCTATGGTTGAATTGAACTATTCTTTGTTTCCCAGTAACCACATGAAGTTGGGAATATGATGATGCTATGTGAATTTTTATGTAAAGTTTATTAAACAACAAAATGAATAATGAATGAAAAGCAGTTTTCTACAAAATCACTTTTTTACTAATCCTTTAATAAAAGTTGAGGTTACTGTAGTAACTTAGAATTCTCTAAAGACAATTTTATGACCAAGTTAAAAAATACTGGATTTTAACTTTCTGGTGATCTTGTTTGAAACAGTTTTTATTGAACAGATATTTTGACAAATGTTAAGGTCAATGGTTAATGCACTTGAGTCAGGATGCTTTCATTTGCAAGAGTCAGAGAATTCAGTGCAAACTGGATTAAAAATAAAGGAAGGTCATTGACTCACATAACTGGAATCCAGTGATATAATAAGCTTTAGCTATAGCTTTTCTAGAAGTTCTGAATGTCATGAGTAGTCTAGCGCTGTTTCTGAT